AAATTGTGGTACTTTTACGCAATGGAATACTACTTAGCAATAATAATAATAATAATAATAATAATAATAATAATAATAATAAAACAAGAAAATCTTGAAATTTACAGGCAAATGGTGGAATCTAGAAAAGATCATCCCGACTGAGGTATCCCAGAAGCAGAAAGACACACACTGTGTATACTCACTTATAAGTGGGTACTAGACCTATAAGATAGGATAAACATACTAAAATCTGTACACCTAAAGAAGATAAACAAGAAAGAGGATTCAGGGTAAGATGATCAATCCTCACTTAGAAAGACAAATGCGATGGACATTGGAAGTAGGAGAAAACAAGTACAGGACAGGAGCCTACCACATAGGGCCTCTGAAAGACTCTACCTGGCAGTGTATCAAAGCAGATGCTGAGACTCATAATCAAACCTTGGGCAGAGTGCAGGGAATGATATGAAAGAAGGGGGAGTTAGTATGAGCTGGCAAGGACAGGAGTTCCACAAGGACCTAATATATCTGGGCACAGGGGTCTTTTATGAGACTGTATCTCCAGCCAAGGATATGGATATAACCTGGAACCTCTGTTCGGATGTAGCCCATGGTAGCTCAGTATCCAACCTAGTAAGAGGAACAGGAACTATTTTTGACATAAACTCAATGCCTGGCTCTTTGACCCCTTCCCCCTGCCCCGAGAGAGGGACAGCCTTGCTACAGAGGTAGACATTGCAGCCAGTCCTGAAGAAACCTAATAAACTAGGGTCAGATGGACAGGGAGGAGACCTCCTCTATCTGTGGATTTGGAAGGGGGCAGGGAGAAAATGAGGGAGTGAGGGTGGGATTGGGAGGGAATGAGGGAGTGGGCTACAGCTGGGATACAAAGTTAATAAACTGTAACTAATATTTTAAAAAATACTAATAACAAATGAGTGTAGCAAGGTAATAATATGGGAAGATGAAATTTCATGCAGTTTATATAATGTATACAGTCCCACCGTGTTTGAAAGCCACAAGGGCCGTATTTGAAACCAGAGCCTGCCTACAGAGGGCATGGTACTACCATTGTGTCTTTCACCAGACTCCTCTCCCACTTATTACCTAGTTAGCAGAACCTGGGAAGCAAGGACATAAAGACTTTATTAATGTAATCGTATTATGGATTTTTTCTCTGTGGCCTGGTAAGGCTGCTTCCCCCTTGGGGGAAGTGATCAAAGAGCAGGCCACTGAGTTCATGTCAGAGACAAACCCTGTTTACCTGACTAGGGAACCCACTTGGACACTGATCTGCCATGGGCTACATTTATGCAGAGATTCTAGGTTATAACCACGAATGGTCTCTGGTTGCAGTATCAGTCTCAGAAAAGACTTCTGGGCCCCAATTTATTGGCTCTGTTGCTCTCCTTGTGGAGCTCCTGTTCCCTCCAGCTCTTTCTCATTTACTCTTCCTTCATAAGATTCCCTGCACTCTGCCCAAAGTTTGGCTGAGTCTCAGCACCTGCTTTAATACCCAGCTGGGTAGAGTCTTTCAGAGGCCCTCTGTGGTAGGCTACAGAGGAAGACAATGCAGCCATTCCTGATAAGACCTGATAGGCTAGAGTCAGATGGAAGGGAGGAGGACCTCCTCTATCAGTGGAGTGGGGGAGGGGGAGGAGAGAATATTATCACTATTTTTTGCATTTACATGGGTTCAGCAGTCCAAAGGTTACATGTAGCATGCTGGCTGGGAGGCAGCAGGTGAGACGGTATGAAGAACAGCTGTATGAAAATGACTTCTGCAAAGGCAGATGTTCTGAAGCAGTAAGTACAGCATGTGATGCTGAGACAAAACTAAAATTATTCCTCTGTCTCCGGTATGTTGTGTCTGTAGCTCTTGGAAGAAGAAGGCAGCATACATACACTAGAGCAAGATTTTCCTATGTCGAATCCTCCTGTTATAGCTAGTGAAATCCTGCTGAAGATTATTCTTAGAAAGTAAAAATTGTAGTGCTTGACAGTTCTCAAAAATAAAATTTTAGTGTAAAGTGTTATATTTTAGTTCTGAAAATATGATAATGTTTATGTGGTATATTAATAACATTTCCTTGTTAAAATGTATAAATAGTATTTATACAACTCTTATATTCCAGAACATTCCAGTTTATAGTTTATAGGAGGTGAGTCCAGTCGTATTTAAGGTTGCTCATTTGGACTTCTTCAGAAAGCATAGAAATTATTAAATGATTGAATTTTTTTGCTTAGATTTAGTTAATGATTTTGTTTTAAAATATCACTTGAATTGTTTTTATTACGTGATTTAAATTGAAGATGGTGTATCTAAGCTTATAATCTTGTTCTATATTTAAAATAGTATATGGAAATGTACTTTAAAATCCAGGTCTTGCTGGTTCTGTCATTATACTTTGAAGCTACAGTTTGGCAGAGGGTGTGCTGATACATGCTCATGTGCTCAATTTATACTGTGTTGAAAAGGAGCAAATCATTAGTTCATCTTTATTTGTACCCCTCAAACTTACCTGGATTTCTGTCATAATTCTTCTTCCATTCTACTTTCAATTTCTCTTCTTGAGATTTATTATTTAGAATAATTTCATTTCTAAAATTGTTATTTCATGCTGTTCAGTGCTGACCAAACTAGATGTTTTTATAGTCATTCTGATGCTTAATTCTCACAGCAGCTGTTAACAACACCATCTGTATTGAGAAAATTGAGAAGGGTGGAGTCTGAAAGTATCTCTACCACCTCGACGTTAATCCAGAGATTCACATGTCTAACCATAATGTGCCCTAATCAAATAGTTAGAAGGATCAATGTAAAATAGACTTTCCACTGTCACTGGATACTAGACGCTCTTTTATTTGATATTCATCTCAGAAATAGATTAACTAAAAATACTATACAAAGCTTAATCCTTAAAAAATGCTTTATTTATGTTTCATTCCAAAAATAATTCTTATTTTTATGCAACTACTTCTTGTAGTCGAGTTCAAGTTTTAGCTTTTTAAGCTATTATTTTAGCCAAGAGACAAATGCATTTTAAAAGAATGCATTTATGACATTCTTGTGTGTATTCATTATATACTTACATGCATTTATATGTCTGTGTGAATGTGTATATTTGTTGAGGTGTATGTATATACATGCACACTCACAGACTTTCAGAGATGGAGGAAAATTGGTTTTATTTAAGGAGGTCTTTGATATTGTTTGTTTTAAAAATTATGTGAAAACAAAGCTTTGTTTAATACACAATGGTCAACAGAATATTTCCACAGGTTTTTATAAATCAATGGGACTAAATGTTTACCTTCAGTAAAAAAATAATGATGGAACTACCATAGTAGCCTTCAGGTGACTCAAAGCTGAGACGTAAAAGGGCCATGGACACCCTGCTTTCATGTCTTAGGGGCCATGCTCTCGTGTTCTCACTTCCAGCTTCCTGCCTCATTACTTCATTAACCTCCCTCCAAAACCAACAATTCTTTCTCAGTTTTTTCAAACACCTTCTTACCATTTCTATTATTTCAACACCACTTTTACAAATATGCTTCCCATGTTATGCTTCATCAGTTTTCTGACTAGGACATTTTTCAGAAAATGTAAGTGAACCTTTCTCAGCTAAACGTAGATTATGTTACGTAGAGTCTATGGGTAAATTTTATTGTGAAAATACTTTTTCAGTATTTCCCACAATGATCAGCTACCTCTATTAGCATCTATGACATAGTGTCTATAGAAATAATATTTTCTTCCCTTTTCCTTCTTACATTGACTTTCGGTGAGACTTGCAGTTTGTGCACAATGAGCTCCGAATGGCAGACAGATGGCTAAGACTCTGTCCTTCCTCAGATATTTCTAACTTTACTAATCCCTAATTCAGCATGCCCTTCATATTGTAACCTTCAGAGTAAGATGGGCAATGTGATAAATGGCAGCTGAGCACAAGACAAAAACAAGATGGCTGACCTCATGGTTCAAATATATTTTGAATTTTGAGGTTAGCCTTGGCAAAGCAAAGTTTAAATTAACCTTATTATTTAGTTTAATACTTTCATTTTTTCACAGAAGATCACAAAACAAAAAGATAAAACCAGCCTTTTAAAAAACACCTTATCATAGGTTAAATAGCTACGTCACTTAATGAAATAAAACTATGTGCTCACATTAATTTAATTTAATTTAATTTGTATACCTATTGGTAGAGGACCACTTTTAAGGTGTTATCTCAAAATAACCTCCCTGATACTAAGGTAAGGTGAAAAGTGCAAAGACACAACAGTAGTTTTGGATTTTCCCTATATTATTTATTCAAGTGTAAATAATGTGTTTATTTTATTTTGTTCCTTTTATTTTGTTCCTAAATGTATATTTTGGATACTAATAGTTAATGAAAATTTACTATAAATATGCCTAATAATTCAAATTGCTTTAATAATACAATTGGTTTTATGAGAAGATCTGTACACTTTGAAATTTGGTAAACCGTTTCACTGTTCTTCATTGTTTCCACAAACATTTTTGTTCACACAGAGATTTTATTTTTCAGAACAGATAACTGATTCTGATAGGCACCCCAATTTTTATGCTATTTTTAAGATAGATTTTGTAGAATCAGTCATCAAAGGTTGAGAGTATCCTCTCACTGTAACAGTCAATCTAGAGACCAAAGGTTTTTCTTCACAGAGGTCTACAGAGTATAGCCACATCGTCTGCACAAATAGGAGGAGTTCTCAGAGTCATTCTCTCTTCAGATAGGGGACTATTGGCAGTGGTGATCATCTTTGTCATAACTGGGGCATTTGAAATAATGATGAAAGTTGTGTTAAGAGTATTGCAAAACGATAGAAGGAAAATATAACTGTTTTTTATAAGTATGTAAACATGGAGGTCCTGGAGAGCTCAGTGATGTGTTTGGAACAATGATTGCTACCTTGTAACCATTAGTGTTTACTATTTCTGAGATTATAGCTTTATTATAAAGCGTTGATCGTATTTTCTCCTTCCTTTACAGGTAACCCATTAACCACTCCTAAATCAAGTAATCTTCAAGGCTGGGTTCATGGTGACACATGGATAGAAACTTGACTTCTGAGGTGATCTTGAAGATTTTTATACCTCTTAGAAGACACACTTTGAAGCCTGTTTCAAGGGATTCCATGGCTTGCCATCTACTTCTTATTGGAAACTAAGACTTTAAAAAGGTCTGAAGTGCACTGCGTGTCCTGAAGACTTCCTCAGCAGTGAACTTTGTTTGGCTCATTACGCCTTTGAGGGAAACAGACACTGCTCTCCACAGAGCTGGTAGAGTTGGTTTTCTGGGGCGATGCCAGAGACTGTCACCTGCAGGGTTCCTGGCTTCAGCTGTGACAACTGCTCTTGTTTTTGAAGCCGTCTCCCAGGTGCACTGTCCTCTTATGGATGTGTCCTGGGTCCTTTGTTCATTGTCTAGTAGGACTGTGCACTGCTTTGATGACGTTTTCTTTGCAAACTCCTCTGGCATGGCATAAACTGAGACAATTTTATTGTTATACTAACTTTGAAACTCCAAAAGCCTACATGTTTTAAAGGCTTACACTTGCCTCTGTGATAGGAATGGAAGTATTTATCCATTGATCATGGTAATCATTGGCAAGTCACAGTGATCTGAGTACATCAATCATATAAGAATGTATAGACAAGCTGACATGGTTCCCCAAGGCTAACACGTGACTGCAGCGCTCTACCTGTTGAACGTCAGACAATCCTTAGGATTGGATTCCCATTACAGTCACACAGTACTCTGTATGCTTAGCACATTTTCCCTTCCAGTTTTTCTTAAGTGTACTTTCTTTTTTACATTTTCTGTTACTTTCCTTCAAGAACTTGTTATTGTGCGGTGACATTGGTAGGTAGCCTTTAATTAAAAAAAAAAAAATCACCAGGGACGCATGTGCTTTTCTTATTTTTCATCACTTATTTTTCTTCTAGTATTTTCTTAAACTACCCTTTCTGTCTCATTTTCATGTTGTCTCTTTGCTCGATTCCAATGACTGCTTGAATGCTTATATATTTGTTCAGTCTGTGGATAGAAAAAATTGTTCATTTTCTTTGACCTCAAAGAAAATACTTGCTCATAGTTGTTACATTCAAACAAAATTTTTGGCCAGATTTTTTTTGTCCATGTTTTCACAACCATCTTAAAACTTCTGGTTTTTAGTTCTTAGGAATGTCTTACAAATATTTAAAGGCCTTAAACACTGATTTATTTTTTTCTAAGTTATTACAGAATGTATTATTTTATACTGTATTTATTTTGTTTCACTCGTGATACAGAAGAGAATACTGCGTACTGAGTTTCCACCCTACAAGAATACCATGTAAACCAATAGTTGAATGGAATGTAAAGGCAAGGATTTTCCATCTCTTCATTATTGTAGCTTGATCAAACGTTGCTTCACAGATCACCCTGTTAGGTGGCCCATCATTTCGGTAGAAGAGTGAAGTTATTTTGGACTTCTTGTACTTTTAAAACTCACTGACAAAGCTAGTTAACCTTTTGTTGGTTTCTGCGATGAAGGCTCACATGTTCTAGTTAATTTGCATCTGTTACTCTAAGAATATTCAGAGATTTGCAAATTAACCAGACTGTTTTCTAGGGAGAACAACTAAAGTTGTAAAATCTGTTAACATCTAAATTAGAAAATTATACTTTTAATACTGAGCGAAAGACATTTTGTGACAGTATGAATATGTGGAATGAAATGATTCCTGCCTCACTTTTAAGGGCATAAAACCAATTAGGTGTTTCCAAGTAGGTCTGGTAATGGGTCAAGTCTACACTGAGTCAAATTGAAAGGAATAACTGTTGTGTTGGACTTTCTATGTCAAACAAAGTATCATTAATTTTTGGAACAAAATGAAAAACTATACCATTTTGGACATTATGAATTTATCCTAGGTTTGTTTGACGTTATGGATCATGCTTCTCATTTTGAAAGCTATGTCATTTAAAACAACACTGCAAATTCTGTATTATATAAAAGTGTAATACATGTGTATCAATAGAAAAAATAAATGGAATTTCAAATATATGAGCTAGATTATTCCCAGTAGATTAATGTTGTGACTATTCAGAAACAATAAATAAAATTGGAATATAAAATGGACTCACTTTCCCAAATAGTTTGGAGATTCTGGTTTCTTGTATTCCGTTTTAAAAGTACCCTTCTTAGTAACCAATATAACTCTGAATTTAGAAGGAAACTGACAAATTCTTGCATCCTCCTTTAATAAAGCTCTGTGATAAACTTTCCACTTACATAAGATTCCAACATTTGACCTGCTTCTTAGGAAACTGTGAAGTCAGTACACGGACAGTTGTGCTACTCCTCTGCAAATCAACTGAGAACATGAATGCAAATTCATCTTTATCGTTTCATTGCATGGAAATGCAAATTTCATCTTCTAATGAAAGTTGTAAGCATAGTTTACCCTGGGAAACACATTGGATGAAACTATGTATCCATACCATGTCTTGAATATCTTTGAAAATGCCTTTTTATTCTGAAATTGTTTAAAATTCATAAGAGCTACAGAAAACCACGTAGGGGATCACTTTGCCCTTTTCTCATCTTTTTCCCCAGTGATAACATCTTCAAAATTGTAATACATTGTCAAAACACAAAAGTTCATATTGGTGTAATACTAGGAGCTCAAAGAAGACTTATTCACATTTCTTGTCAGTTTTCACATGAGCCGTGCTTGCACTGGTGCTATGTCACTGAAGGATACAGGAATATACATTAGATGGGAATGTGGGTACACAGGTTAATAACTGACTGGTTGTGGCAATTCTAAAGTTTCCAGTTTTATAATAACATCTTATAGCTTTATTTTACTTTATTTTTACAATTTTTGTTGCCATGATAGAAAAATAAATTAACTTTAACCCCAGACAGAACCGTATATGATTTCAAATTTGGTATTATTTTAATGTGGTTGAAATGCCTGCAGAGACTGATGAACCAACCAAGAACCATGCATGGAGAGGACCTAAACCCTCTGCTCAGATAGAGCCCATGGAAGCTCAGTCTCCATGTGGGTTCCCTGGTAAGAAGAGCAGGAGCTGTTTCTGGTGTAAACTCGGTTGCCTGCTCTTTGATCACCTCCCCCTGGCAGTGCGGCCTTACTAGGCCACAGAGAAGGAGGACACACACAGCCCTGATGAGATGATGAGACCTGATAGGTTAGGGTCAGATGGAAGGAGAGGAGGACACCCCCCCATCAGTGGACTAGGGGAGGGGGATAGGAGAGGAAAAGGGAAGGAGGGTAGGACCTGAAGGAGATGAAGGAGGGGGGTCACAGCTGGTATACGAAGTGAATAAATTGTAATAAATAATAATAGAAAATAACAAAAAAGAAAAACTTTCCACCCTCACCGGGATTAACTTCCCTTAGTAAATGAGATTGCTACACAACATCATTCAATTAATTAATTCCTGTCTGTGTGTAACCTAGTACCCATGCACAATGAATATATGCTGATGAAATTTTTTATACAAATTTACATTTATATGTGAGGTAAAAAATGTGCATGGAATCTTATGTAAGAAGTGGGAAATAGTAAGAGCTAGAGAGGATGGGAACCACACAAGGAGAGCAACAGAACCAGATAATTTGAACACAGGGAACTTCCCAGAGACTCATACTCCAACCAAGTACCATGCATGGAGATAACCAAGAACCCCTGCACAGATGTAGCCCATGGCAGCTTAGCGTCCAAGTGGGTTACATACATGGGAAGAGGGACTGCCTCTGACATAATCTGATTGGCCTGCTCTTTGATCACCTCCCCTTGAGGGGGGAGCAGCCTTACCAAGCCACAGAAGATGACAATGTAGCCACTCCTGATGTGATCTGATAGACTAAGATTAGAAGGAAGGAGAAGAGGACCTCCCCTATCAGTGGACTTGGGGAGGGGCATGCATGAAGAAGGAGGAGGGAGGGTGGGATTGGAAGGGAAGGAGGGAGGGGTTCATAGGGGGATACAAAGAGAATAAAGTGTAATTAATAATAAAAAAATATAAAAAATAAAGAAAAAAAGGAATCTTCAATATAGCAGCAATGATGCTAATACAGATCACCAATGAAAGAGCAACCACTAGAGTAATAATTGTCAGCTTGTGCCAAAGCTACTGACACTTGTATAAGCAATCATTAAGTCAGTTAACTGGGAGGGAAATGAGTAATATCTCCATACTTAATTTGTAAGAAAGTATTGCTTTCTCTTCAGGGCTGTTGTGAAGACTCAGTGAGTTAATGCCCATAGAAGACTTCATGTAGTATTTTTGTCCGTGATGGAAATTTATTAAAAGGTGTTTTTTAATCATGAAAGACATGTTAATTCCATTTCTCTTAAAATTGTGTGAGACACATGTCAATAAAAATAGTCTATTCCTATATAATATAGATGAGTATAAATCATGCTGGTACATGTGTTAAATGAGAGAGAGACGGGGAGAGGAAGAAGAAGAGGGAGAGGGAGAGGTATTATTTAAATGGTAAATTTTTCTAAACTTAAGAAGCTGCAAGAAAAGTAGCAGCTAAAGGGAAATGCTTTTCTATAACGGATAGTTGAGAGTAGGTGTCCTTAAAGAAATAGAAACTATAAAACACAGGATGGGCCATCATCATAGAGCCGGCCATGATGAAATAGTGAATGGAAGGGTTAGTGTGAGAAAGCAGCATACGTTTACCTTATTAGGTGGATCAGTGAGCAAGAGTTGGTGAAGACAAATAGAAATTTAAAACTAGACTTTATTCGTTAATTTTATTTTATGTACATCAGTGTCTACAGCATTCATGAAAGTGCACCGTGCATGTATAAGGTGGCACATACAGGCACATACAAAGGAGAGTTATCTGCTGACTTTAAGAAATGAAGTGTGCAGGAGGATGAAAAACATTTTTATTTTAATTCTAATTTTTTATATTAATTACAGTTTATTCACTTTGTATCCCAGCTGTAGGCCCCTCCCTCAGTACCTTCCAATCCCACCCTCCCTCTCTCATCTCCTCATGCCCCTCTCCAAGTCTGCTGATAGGGGAGGTCCTCCTCCCCTTCCATCTGACCCTAGCTTATCGGGTCTCATCATGACTGGCTACAGAGGAAGACAATGGAAACTTATTTTAGTGCATCTTTACATTGAGAGCTGCAAGGCCAAAACAGACTCTTGAGCATCTAATTGGGAGCAATGTTTTATTCTCCATCAGTACACTCTCTGCAGTGTGGAGGAAGGAAGGGAGACAGTCACAAGCTGGGCTGATCCCCCAGTGAAGCTGGGCAAGATTTAAAGACTGGCACTAAGAGCCAGGCATGGCAGCACACATGCACCTTTAATCCCATCACTCAGGAGGCAGAGGCTGGCAAATTTCTGGGAGTTCGAGGTTGGCCTGGTCTATACATTTAATTGTAGGATATCCAGGGCTACATAGTGAGAGTCTGTCTCAAACAACAACAACAAAACCAACCAATCAAACAAAAAACAAAACAGAAAATAAAAACAAAAACCTTTGAAGATCCTCCTTAGCTATATGGCGAGACCAGCTAGGATACATAAGACCTTGTCACACATGCACAACCAAAAATAGAATGTTAGCATCTCTTTAGCACTTGATTCTACCTAAGAACTGAATATGGGCCATTCAGTTCAGCTCTGCCTGAGAACAGTGTTGTGTTACCACTCTGTAAGGACACCAGGGCTCACCAAAGTCTAGCAATTTCTCCAGCATCGCACTGACTGGCAAAGTGAGGGTTTGTAAAGGGTTAGAGTTAACATGTGCACAGAAAGCTTCAGAAGATTCTGGGCATGTCAACTGATGCTCGGAAATCTAGGAAAGGGATAGAAAGACCACCGGTACCTATGGCTCACAGGTCCCTCATCATTCAATAAAAGCAATTTTTGTACACCTTTGTGCCAAGAACTGTGCCAGGCATATTGAATAAAATTAAAGCTGTGAGCCTCACTTTCCTTTGAATGATGTCTCTCCTGGGAAGGGTCATTAACTGAACTTGTATCAATTTACTGTGAGAATCTTCAGCAAGTTCTGTCTAATATTAAATTTGCATGGTCATCCTGCAGAGCGAAATGGGACTGAAAACAAAACCAGAGTCCCTTAGAGAAGGAAAAACAGTCAACCCCGAAAGAAGCCTTTGTTTTGATTACAGTAGATAATATTAGTGAGTAAGCATGTCAGCAATGCCTTAATATTTCACAGAGATTAATAAGACATTTGTATTCTGTTCAATAAGTAGTGAGGATTTCCATCTTCACATCCACTCACATTGCTGCACCCAGAGATTTGCAGGCATCCGCTATCTACATCTTTGTAGCCATTACCCAAACACAGTGGCATTGAACACATTTGTTGTAGCTCCAAGATCTCCTAGCAGGCTGAGTCTCTCTGTGAATCTTCGTGACCTCATTTCTGTGTCAGCTGCTAGCTGTGGCAGTTTTGCCCGTTTCAGAGTGTTTGGCTTTATTTTCTCAGTGCTGTAATTGTTTATTTATTTGCTATTTACCTGGTTTCTACAATGGTTTTCTACCATTCTGCTATTCTACCTGGTTTTTTATTTGGTTGGTTGGTTGGTTGGTTGGCTGGTTTTTAGAGACAGGGTTTTTCTGTGTGGCCTTGGCTGCCCTGGGCTTGAACTCACAGAGATCCTCATGCATCTGCCTCCCTGAGTGGTCGGATTATAGGCATGCAACACCATGCCCAGCTGAGGAATCCTGGTCTTTTCACACCAGCAATGTCATGTCAGCTATTAGATTATGGCACGCAGGAAAGAGTGCTCACTGAGTGTATGAATGATCTAGTATGTACTACCTAAGCTTACTTACTACAACTGAGTTTGCTTCGAGTTGGTTGGCTAACCTGTTCAGCACTTGAAAATGCTATGAAGGAAGATTCAGGCAAAAAGAACATGACTGTGATCACAGGGCAAAGGGCACATTAATTTCCCCCATCTGCTAGTTAGATTTCTTACACTGTGCATTAAGAGTGTCACAGCCAAACAATCAGGGATGTTAAGTGGTTCCCTGTAATTTCTGTGCCACAAAATGTTGACAGTGTTTGCTGGTAAGCTCGTAGAAAACTCAGCACATTA